TATATATATATATATATATATATATATATATATATATATATATATATATATATATATATATATATATACATATACATATATATATACACACATATATATATATGCTATATTCACAAACATAAATATTTATAAAACTATACACAAGTACGTTTATGTGAACACAACGGTAGTCATGGTGTGAAAGTCTGTATACGTGACAGCCCTCTCGCGCGACAATCTACTGGCTTCAACCAAATCGGTGGTTCATACTAAGATTAACATATATCTCTGGATCTATGATCAGATCGTACCTGCCAATAACACTAAGAAAGCTGGGTCGTCTCTGGCCCACTGATTCTTTGTCTGCTTGTGGTATGTGATGTTCCTGTACACTTTACTCGGTGCAATACACAGGTTCAGCATCTCCCACATAGCCAACTCAAAGTCCATTTGCCGGAACAATAACAATCGGCGGATGAACTTATGGCGCCGCGACGGCCGCCCAGACATATTGCCCTGTCTGTTGGCTGACATATTGTTGGGAAGCATGTTGTGCAGTATATGAACAAGAGAGTATATATGCTATGATTCGAACGATTATATGTATGTGGATATAAAGTATGCCCTAATAAAAGAAGGTAAACGACGTATTTAGATGGTACAGTTTTTGTATTGTATGTGCGATGCGCTTGCTTGATAGCTCGTTCAGCTACAGTCCTATACACAGAGACATGTATGTATGTATATGTACACGCGTGCGCGTGCTCGTATGTGCCGTGTGTCGAATGTCTACTGTGGTGGAGATGTGGGGGATTTCGGCTCCGTTTCGGCTTTTGTGTTTACTTTCTTATGACACATTTTCCGCATTTTTATTGCGTATATATGTAGTCCTGGATATTCCCCAGTACATATGTATTATCGGTCTTATGTACATGCTGATTATGTATTTACAACGAACAGTTGCTTTTGTAATGCATTATATCGAGACTGTACAGACTTATACACTCGCAAACATGCTTGTATATTGCTACGCTTACATACAAACCAATAAAATGTTCTTGTTCTTATATATATATGCGGTGTGCTTCACACGGGGTGTGAAGTAGCTTCTGTTATCTTGTGGGATCGATCCTAGCTCACGTGTGTACACGGTATCTTTCAAATGTATTATATGAGGTGCGTGTACGTGCCTTTAGAGCAAGTTTAAGTTGGTAACTACAACCAAGCGTATAAACTTTATGTGTATTGTTTAAGTATTTGTTCGCTTGCGATAGAGTGCTAATGAATGAAAGGTTGATCTGATGTTCGTATCAACCTGATAGTATTCAATACAAGGTGATTGTTTAGACGACAGAACTGCGCATTTTAAAAAGTAAATATATGAGGGAACTGCTTAGTTCATAGTCCGGGTGTACTATACATTCTAATCAGGACAGCCATCGAAATTTACCTATATCGTACCCTAAGAGCGCTACTATGTAATATATAAACACAACAAACTCACTCACCCACACAAAACACATACACACACACACACACACACACACACACACACACACACACACACACACACACACACATATATATACATATA